GGCACTTGTACGTGATTATCGTGTGCATGTAATCGTTTACAAAGATGGTACCAAAAATTATTGTTAGCGTTCTGTACTATATACATACGTGTCTTCTGATATAAAATATTTGATCATCGAGAAATCATTTGTTTTTTTCAATGGCAATGGTAAAATGTTCCACAGTTGCATGATTAAACGTATCCTTTCAAAATACACACCATGCGCAAAATGTATGTTTATTCTTCGAGCGATATATCTTTGACAATCTCTGACTGAGAAATATGCGATTTAAAAATATCGTATCGATGTTTGATCGAATTTCAAAATAAGAGTAATTAATAACGCAACATGACAAAGATTTACGAGCAAATATTGATCCATATAAAAGAGCAAGCCTTATACTTGAGGATTTTAAAACGAGTTCCGAAGTCAAAGTAGAAACGTGCAAAGACAAGATGTTTGTCAAGTTAATACTGATCGTCTCAGCGATGTTTAGCTTCGTTTGCGTACGAAGTATCGAAAACGATGTTCAGCATTTATCATTGTTCTCCTCAAGTCGCTCCGAGTCTATCACGGATGCTGAATCAGTCGTCACCGTAAATATCTCGCTATGTTTCTTACAATTTTAATCTTGTAATTTTACCTTACCACGAGAAATTTATATTTCTAAATGCTTATCTATTACATATAACACTTCCTTCTTTAACTTTTTATTAATCAAGATTAATCGTAGGATGGACGCTGCGCCCTTCCACCAACCACTCAAGCAAGTATAAATATACCTTTTAATCACAAAATAATGAATTCGGATGTGGCACGTCTCAAGAAAAGAACCCCAAGTCACAAGGAACAAGATAAGCAACAAGATTTACGACCAGGATGTTGTGGATAAACAAATTATTCGTCATCGATCAATTCTTTCTCGTGAATATTTGTTTTGAAAGTATTTACGTACAAATTATAGATGCGCATATTATGAATACGTTTCCTCTTTTTGGCTTCTTCCACAGATAAGATAGTAAATAAAATAAAATAATGGCTGTCACGCCGCATAAACATAATTAGGAAATATTTCTTTTTGTCATTCCTATTCGCCAATACCACAAATTTAACGGATATAATAAGGGTAAAATAAAATAATTCGTATGGAAAACTTTTATTAACATTATGTACGAGTACATAATGACTTATACGCACTGCGAACGTCAATTTAATAACTCTTTAAGTTATTTAACCCCAAAATATAAATATGCAGTAGACCAGTGCAATATATTGCATATTACATTGTAACTTGTAAAATTGCTAAACCTTCATCGCAGAAGATAAGGAGATAGATAAAAAAAGATCCATTTTTATTCTTGGCATGTCTACGTAAGACGTGATATATAAAGAATGGAATGCTACTGTGACATAAACGACATACTATAATCAATGTTTAAGTAAATGCAGTACTTGTTCAACATTGTTTTTGTGCTACTATATGAAAAGATGTTGTAAAAATTTTTCGTATCAAATTTTGCGACGATCACTTTTTTTTTCATTACGTGTTACACCGGGACACAGAACAATAGCACAACAAATAATCAAAAAAAAGAGAGAGAAAGAGAAAAAGAGGAAAGAGAGAGAGAGAGAGAGAGAGAGAGAAGAGAGAGAGAGAGAGAGAGAGAGAGAGAGAGAGAGAGAGAGAGAGAGAGAGAGAGAGAGAGAGAGAGAGAGAGAAGAAGA